CCTGCGGTCAGGTTGAGGGGCAACGCTATGTTCTCAGCTGTGGTGTTTGTCAGCAGGTTTTCACCGGCCACCAACACAGTCAGTTGCTGCATGCCCATGCATGTACCCCAGATGGGGAAGAAGTCCCCTGCATCATTGGCCTGCAACACACATAGAGTCAGAAGTTTTACTTGTTTGTGTCGGAAACAATATCACAACACTGTGGCAACTCCTCTTAACAATATTAGGAGAAAAAAATCCATTAACAGTAAATGTTCTGCATTAAAATGTTCATGATGTTAACAATAAAATGCAATTTAATATCAAATATTGAAGTCTTCAGTGCAAAGCTGAGTTAGTATTTTAATGTTGGAGATAGTTAAACTATTCCATGTCCGTTGGTTTAAACTTAAGCATATTTTATGAGCTTATTGTTTGTTCTGACCATGAAAATCCAAGAATTCAAAGATAGCTCAATAGTTTCATTATTCATTCATTCAGGTTAAAAACCTTTAGACAGGTGTACTTAAACACAAATTCACTCTGTTTTCTGTCCATTTAATAGCCTCAAAAGACAATATAATAAACAGAAGAAGTAAAATAAGATACATAGACAGCTAGACACGCAGACAGACATTCAGATTGAAGGCCAAAGTGTGAACAGCCATAAAACAAGTCACACATTTGTCAGCTTTTTTGCAATGTGACCTCATTGTGGAAATACAGTCATATCAGATTTCACGTGCCTTTTACGTGACTAGATTGACACTCGTCATGTGGCCCCACTTCAGGACCGTGATCTGTTCACACTGGAATCTGATATGGGTCACATTAAAATAGTAATGTGAACAGCCAAACAAAACAAAAAAAATCTGATTGAGCCAATAAATCAGCATTGAGTGCAAAGTCGTAGTTTTACAGCCCTTTAAGGGAGAAACAAAGTCCTGCTGTACAAACCTTCAGAGCGAGTCTGTAAAAGATTTTCGCCACCCTGGCAAAGTCTGATGTCTCCAAATCTGCGGCTCCCCCGATGAGAAGCAGGCTAAACACACATCACAAAGTTAGCACAGTGACAGTTGAGTGAAGACTGAGAAAAAAATACAATTAGTGTATGTATTTAATTTATAAATGTAATCTGAATTGAACATTTATAATAATACAGCTCACCCATTTATCTGCCTGAAGATGTTTTCATATTCATCTGTAGTATGAGTCAGCCTGTGGAAGGCGAACAAAACAAAGAATGCTTCCTCACTGCATATTTTACATCGTTCAGACAGCACACAGGGGAAGACAAAGGGATACCATGTGACAGAAAAACTTTTTGCACAAAAGCAGCAAATATCAACAGTGATAAGTAAATAGCAAACAAAAGCACAGGTTAACAGCGTCAAACTAATGTCACTATTGTTTCAAACAGGCTACATTTAAGTAATATCATCCTTAACTCTGTCTAAAGAAGTCCTGTATATAGTTTTATTCTGCAAATTAAAGAAGTGGGTTAATTATCTTCTTATTATTGTTATATGTTAATAGGTAGGATTATTTCCCATTACATGCTCACTAGAATAAACAGATCATATAAAAAAACTCCAGTCAATTGTATGATATGGTCTATCTTTAACTGTTGAATTAACCCACCTGATAGGCATCACTCTGCTGCCCCCAGACTCAATGTATTTGACATAGGAGGCAGGTATGTAGGTGCTCCCAAATGGTTTCATGACGTCGTCTGAAACTATCTGAGTCAAAATACCTGCAGGACAAAAACATAGCAGCTGTGAATACACAGTTGTTTTTTTTAATGTTTGTGTCACATAAATCTATCTTTATGTCTCTGTTTCAAGCCTATAGTAGTTGTAAGTTTCACTTACCAATCACAGGTCTGTTGTTGAAAGTCTCCTGGATGAGTTTAGGCGGCATAGCTTTGCTGCAACAGAAGCAGCCGGCAAAAAACAAACACACAAATGCTGAAAATCCTGCGCTGGACATGTTGTCACCTCAGTTATCGAAGACAAGGCTTAATTGAGCATATAAAAAGGCATGAAGCTGTTAGAAAGTGCAAATTCATGAAAGAAGCAGCAGCAGACTTATATATGTTGAACTGGAAGAGGATATAGTCAGTACAGGGAAGTAAGGAATGTCCAGATTTACATGTGATGACTCCTCTACTGCACTTGCCGGTCGGACAAGTTGACTGCTGAGGTAAACATAAATATTCTGCTGACAGCACGGAGTTTTTGGTAAAATTCTTATAATTTGTGTGGTGGGAAACGATGCAGTTTCATGGGTCAGAACAGGGTTTTGCAATAACGTTCACAGAATTTGCAGGGGAGCATTTAAGAAAGCAGCTCTGAATTCACACGGCTCAAAGGAATCAAGGTGCAGTCAAACAGTTTCGATCTGAAAATGAAAGTAGGTTTTCTATTTATAGGACTTGTAAGGTAGGAAGCTTATTGCAAAGGCTTGGACAAACTCTGAGAACTGAGGCCAAACTTTCGAAAAGGGCACCAGTTCGTACAGGTTCTGCTGACTAAGACTCTCGAAAGCTCCATGGTTATCACTCCAGTGGTTTCTGTTTTAAATAAATGAATAAATAAACCTTTCTCCAGTAATGCTGTGTAGACATTTTTTGACAAAATCTGGAGCAAAATGAAATCTCACTGATGCAATACTTACAAAAATAACACTGAAAGCACTGCAGTTACTGTAACAGGCAAAGTTACTACACAGATTGGGTAACACAGGGAGACAAATGTTGAAAGGTAGTGAATGGACCTTGAGATAAGGTGCTGTCGAAGGTGTCTTATGGTGTTAGAGAGTAACATTAAGTGAAAAGAATTCATTTCATCCTGTATGTCGGTCCTGAAACTAGTGAAACTTACAAAACTCGTGAAAAACACAAAACGTCCTGGAGCCCGTGTTTGGTTTGTCCCTTCTGGGCTACTGTAGAAACTGTGGTTCAGCATGGCAGACTCTGTGGTAAAGACCCAGCTACGACTCAATTATTCAATTAGAAATCAAGCAATAATACTTCTTTCATTCAAACCTTTCATACTTCCATTCCCACAATTTTCACTCCACATAAGTAATTTATACATACAAATGTAGAAAAAATTGTGCCAGTTACAAAACATGACTTCAGAATTGACACATTTGGCTCAGGAAGCCTCAAAGCAACAGGAGACCAACCCAGTGACTCCCATATTAAGTGATAGCACACATTTTAGGAGGGAAGTATTAAACAGACGGTTTTCTTACCTGCTCCTATGCTCACATTTTTGACACTACACACACAAATTTAACACAATGTGCTCAGCAGCGTCTCCTATTTCTTAAAATGTTGCCATTCAGGCAATAGGAGTTATTGTCTTTAAGGAAGAAGCAGTCTGTGACGTTAGACTCTAAATTTTTCTCATTCTCTGAGCCAGGAGCTGAAATAGCAGTTATCATCACCATGGCAACCTTTGACTGACACACACACAACTCATTGAGATTAGTTAATTAGTGCAGTCTAGAGACAATTAGTCAGACATACACACACACACACAC